CTGCTGCCAGATGGCCACTCATTTGGGTAAAAGGCAAACAGTGCGCACCCAAAGTGCATTCAATTAACAATTTTCTGGCTGCGAGTGGTGCTAAAGTTTCGGCCCAGTGCGTGGATAGCGTTTTGTGGCAGGCATTTAATCAAAAACTTGCAGCCCAAGTGCCAGGCAAGTTTTTCGGCCAAGTTTGCCACAGCAGCGCTGGCAAAACTTCTCAGATTGTGACGTCTAGCAAAGTCAAATCGTGCTCTGCCGCTCACATGCTGGCAGCAATCAGTCTGACTTTAGCCAAGCACGAGAAAAAAGAGCGCCAGCTGAGCTCGGCTCACGGCACAGCGAACACTCGATGCTCTCGCAACGGGCCATAGAATTCAGTCTGTTTTTTGGTAAGCTACTTCATATCTCTCGTATTCTCGAGACGATCCACAAATCGGTTTGAATGACTGGAGACAAAAGGCGCATTAGCTCGCGCTCCTCAATGCTAAGCAGCTAAGGCGCAAATTCCATAATATTCCGTGCAAGAGTGTATAAACAGATGGAGACTTGGCCATGGCCAATGCCATGAACTGAATGCAGTAAATTGCCTGACTGCAAATTCAAAGCGTGCCCAGACTCTGGCCCACCTCTGGCCCGCCTCTGCTCTGTCTACCTGCCCTTTGCGCCCGCATGCTGTAAAGTTGGCCCTGCCACTTGGCCAGCATTCGAATGAAAGAGGCAAAAATGCAGCAGCGCCATGCCATGCCATCCCATGGCATGCCACGCCCCGCTTCGCCCACTGTTTACGTAACACAGTCAACGGCAACATCCCTGCCATTTAGCAAAAGTAATTAAGCGTCGATGGCTTTCATTTGTGTTACTTTTCTGGGCAATTAAGGCAAAAAGTTTGCAGTTTTGCAGTGCGGCGTAAAATTTTCATAGTTAATTGTAGCCCATAAGCCCGAGCAGAATCAGCGACAGGGCCAGCGCCAGCTCCTGCCCAGGCTCAGTGCAGGCTATGATGTCGACGATGTCGAGGTGTGTGTGTCTGTGTGTGTGTGTGTGTGTGTGTGTGTGTGTGTGTGTGTGTGCATGTGCCAATGTTCGCGTCAATCGTCTGGGCATAAAACTTTTCCACTCTCTGGCAAGTGGCAAATGTTCTTGTTGTTGTTGTTGTTGCTGTTGCTCCACGTATTTTCCATGGCACTAAAATCGATTGTGTGGCTGTTTTTAATGGCGCCGCAGCTCATCAGCAGCCACAGTCACAGCCACAGCCACAGGTGTCTACGGCACGATCTTACAATACCCGCACCACACTGTCAAAATGTTTATTGCTTTAATATAATCGGAATGCCGTTTGATTGCCATTAAAATAGAGCGTATTAGCTTTGCTAGTACTGTAGTCGAGGCATCCACTCACTGATCGATCATATTGCAGATAGCGTTGCCTCTAAGGTCAGCCTACTCCAGTTCTACATTTAATTAAATATATTGATTGGCAGCTGCACGGCAATTAGTGGCATCGTTATCTTTTCGCAGGAAGATAGATAAGCAATGCAAAGAAACAAACTGTAATATGCTCCGTTACTCACACACACACACACACACACGCATACTCACAGAGAGAGAGAGACGATTTCTAGCTAACATTAGCTGTAACCACAACTATGCTGCTGAAGTGGCACATTGAGGTGACCAGGCCAAAGTCAATGTAAGCCCTGTTGAAATTCCCCCATTTCTTTGGCGTAATTTACATTGCATTTAAGCGATTACCGCATCATTTCGAGAGTAACTTAAGTTTGCTCGCTTGCTTGCCAACCGTATCCGTAGCCGTATCCGGGGCATACGGCCACAGGCAGCAACAGAGAGAGAGAAATAGAGAGAGAGAGAGACAGCTACAGCACCTAGATTCGTGGCAGCGTTAACAATTCGCCCACTTGCCGCACCCACGCCCAGCCCTGATGAGTTCTCAACCCTTCGCACGGGCCGCGCGATACGCAAAAAATGTTTCTCATTAAAAAGTTGTTGCACAATTTTATTATCCTGCCGCTGTCGCCGCTGTCTCCGGCGTGGACCGTGGTCGCTTTACAGGTATGCCGCCATTGTCGCTAGCCCCGGTGACAATGTCAATAAAGCAAACTTCGGACCTCGCAAAAAACGTTAATCCCAAGCGCAAACGCTGCCCCGTCCCACCCCACAGCAGCAGCAGCAGCAGGAGCGGCAGCGGCAGCGACATCATCAAATTATTTTTAAATTACTTGTAAAAATAGGGCAGCGAAAAGTTATAATAGCACAAAGAACACAAGAAATAAAAGCAGTGCCACAGGCGTGCACCGACTCGCAAATACCCTGTAGACAGTCAAGGCAGAAAACTAAAATTCAATTATCAGAGTTGCATATTTCATATTCTTTTAGTTGATATTAATAATAATAGTTATTAAAGGAAAAACGGTTCAGCAGGTAGCCTCATTATATGATATAATATTATGACATAACATTATTATTAAAATTTAATTTAATTTTTGACTTCATTTAAACTGAATCTAAGCCTGATTCAAGCAAAATTTTCGCAATTTCTTTAATGAATGAAAATGTAGGAATTATTGTATATAAAGTTGGTATTTAAAGTCGAATTCATAAATTAAACTAATTCCGCATTCAAATTTGATTTGAAAGCACTTGTATTTTTTATGCATATTTTTTTCGCTTGTGTAAATTGAAAATTCGTAAATTAAAAATTCAATCATAGCTTCACAGATTTTTGCCAACACTTTAAACGCCATTAATATTGGTTATTTAACACGGAACATAGAAAAGGAACTAACTAGAAGAAGTCGCCTTCTATGAGGTTCCGTTGCTTCATATTTTTAATAACATTATCGGATCCCTCCGCTTATCAGCACTTTAAACGTATCGAGGGCATACCGTAGGTATAGCAAAGGCGAAGGGAAATAGCTCAGGGATCTATCTTTTTAGAGACTGTGAGAACAAAATGTTGAATTGCTTGAACTGAATCAAAATATAAAAGCCGATTGCTGGATAAGAGTTATCTTATCAAGCCCAATGACCAAATATTCCCAATTGAGCATAGAACGTAATATTTAAAGCTAATCGAAAATCATTAAATGATTGACTGATATTCCGTAGATAAGTGAGTGAGAGAGAACATTGAATTCGATCCACTACAGTTGTCTGGTCATCCGCTGTATGGAAGACCACTCCAAAACTGTCTCTCTATCTATCTATAGGAGTGTTACACACACAATGTGCTTCAAATACACACATTTGAAAGCAATGCCATGTTCTTACTAATGCAGTTACATATTTTAATGATGCACTGGAAAAAGTTTTTGCTCCTTTCATTGGCCCTTGGAGACACCACAACGAGGTCACGCCTAATTGAATACAGCACGGGCAAGAGCATTTCTCCCTTCACGCATATCGCTAATTAATTAAATGCTAATAATAATAATACTGCATTATCTATTAACTGCGTCAGCTGTGCACTGAAATTCGTTGCTGTTGCTGCTGGCTCTGGAGTAGGGCATTGCGCACTGTTCATTTGGCAATTAGTGCTTGATCGATGTGATCGATAGATTGTCAAGTTCCAGATAAGTTGAAATTTTCAACACACGAACCAGACTTATCAAACATTGTAAATGCGGCTCACACCAAAAAATTTGATTGAAATACATATAATATATATTATAATTGTATTTATTTTTATCATCAATTGTTTATTTTTGTCGAATGTGTTGTTTATGTTTATTCATTTCGAAGCAGGGCAAGCATGTTATATAATAGTCTTAAAAAGTCTACAAATAAAATGAACATAATTTGTATTGAATTGAAAATTTGCTTGAATGAAAAAAAAAAAAAAATCTAATAATATTGTTAATTTATTATTTTTCGTATTTTAAGACTTTACAAAATATTTATATTATTTTATATTCATTTTCTAATTTTATTGTTAACACATATATATTTTTGTCAACAAATTTATAGAAACAACTAAACAAAAAAATTATATTTTTAAATAAAAAATAAAAAAAATGTTTGATTTAGATTTAAAGAAAAGAAAATATAAAATATTTTAAATTGGTTGAATATATACAGTATATAAGAGTGTGCGTAAAATATGTTTTTTACGAATTTAAAAGATTTAAATTAAACAAATACTTAATTTTTTATATATTTTTTATTTAAAAAATTAAAAGTTCTTATATGAAAATTGAAAAATAAGATATATATTTTATAAATATATATAGTATATATATATAAAATATTTTGAATTTTTTGAATGAATGTTTAAGTATAAATTTACTAAACAAATTCCAAAGTTATTAATAAAAAATAACTATTTTATATTTATCATATTTTTTATTTTTTAAATTAAAAACTTGAATTTTGAATGTTAATTGAAAACAATTTAAATAATAATTTCAAAAACTTAATAATATACATATGTAGTAGAAATATATCTAAATATATTCATAAATTTATAAAGATTAACTAGCCGAGTGGAGCGCTATTTAGTCTTCATTTAAAAGCTGGCCCTAGGCAAGCGTACTTCTTCTCGGCCTGAACTTCATTAAACTGCCCGAGGAGGTCAAGGGTAAAACCTTCATCATGCGCAAAGGGAGATACGCAGAGAATCTTGAAACAGTTGGCCTGAAGAAGACAATTATCTTTAATGATAGTTTGAAAAGCTGTTGCAGAAGCTGGCAACGAAACCTTGTGTGAGACACCTATCATTAGCCACGAATTACCAAGTTTCAATTAATATATTGTATTTCTCATATGTGTATTTGTGGAGAGTCCTTACTATTTGCCGAGTCATACGCGCATTTGTCATGCTGCAATTAGACTTTTGCTGAAACAGTCTAATTAGGCAGCACATTAGCACGGCAGTTAGCACAACGGTGATAAAAACTCGGGCAGGAAACGCTTCGGCACTTGGCTAAGTTCGTTGAGTTCGATAGATAAAGCGAACGAGTGTCGGGCTCGTCGGTCGGCGTTATGAATGCCACAATTAGTTTGGCCGCAATGACAACAAGAGGTAGAAGTAGTTTCGTCAAGCTGACGGTGCTGGCTGTGTCTCTCATATTCATGCTGCTGCTGCTGCTGACGACGCTGCATAGCACGAATGTGAGCCCGCGGAGGCAGCTGCCACAGAAAGTGGAACGGGTGCAACCACCGAAGCCGTCGTCGGCTCTCGCCTCGCCCATCGAGGTGATCGAAGAGCCGTTCGATGAGGAGCTGGTTCGCCAGCTGGAATACGAGCTGCCCGAGGTGGACTATGGCTTCTGGACGCGCTACGCCAAGCCGCATAGATACCGCAAGAGTAGCACATGCGCCCAGTATCCGGATCCGCTGGAGCTGCAGCTCCACAACACCTACTGGCAGACGTTCATCAATGCGAACGTGACGTTCCGCCTTTACGCCGCCTACATGGACATGCGGCCGGGCCTCAAGCTGCCATTGGGCGTGGTGCGCATTCTGGCCACGGCGAATCAAATCAACGCCACGTTCCCGCCCACGCACTGCCAGCTGTGGTACGCCGGCCACAGGGAGCCGATTATGACGCGGGTCAGCGAGTACCTCAGCGTGTGGGTCTATGCCTGGGGCCATACGCCGCTGCTCAGCTACCCGCATCTGCTCAGCTGTCCCGTGCCCGAGCTGCCGCTCCAGCTGAAGGGCGCCACGCCGCGCGTAGTCTCCCTGGTCAGCAACAGGTGCGACCGCGCTGGCAACTCGCTGCGCGTCCACTACGATCGGGCTCCGGTCGCCAATACCACAGCCAAGCCGAAGGCCCCCTCCCGGGCGAAATCCAGCGCCACGCCCAGTGCAGCATCGGGCGGCGTCAAATTGAACTTTGGCGTTTGCGTCAAGGCCTTCGACTTCCCCTACGTGGATCTGTCGGCGCGTCTGATCGAGTGGTTCGAATTGCAGCGCCTGCTGGGCGCCTCGCGCATCTACGCCTACATCTACGATGTGCATCCGGCGGTGCAGCGGGTCCTGGACTACTATCAGCGCATCGAATTCCTCGAGCTGCGTCCCCTGACAATGGCCAACGGCATGCCGCGTCTGCGTCACTATCAGCACCAGCTGCTGCAGCACCGTCGCCTCATCAAGCGGCTCAACGAGCTGATACCCTACAACGACTGCTTCTACAGGAACATGTACCGGCACGACTATATGCTCAATGTGGACATCGACGAGGTGATCATGCCGTTGGGCACGCTCAACAGCTGGCAAGACGTTATCGACGCCGACGCGATCGAGACGAGGGCCAAGTGCCCGAACGGCCATGTCTCGCTGTGCTTCATCAATACGTACTTCATCAAGACGGTGCCCGAGGCGCTCAACCACGAGCAGCTGGAGGCCGACGAGCTCTATGTGCTGCAGCACACGCTGCGCCATCGCAACTATTCGCTGCCCAATCGGGCGACCAAGTGCTTTCACAACACTCGCTACTCGGTGACCCTGCACAATCACTTCACACTCAAGTGGCTGCCGGGCGGTTGCAGTCAGCACACCTTGAGCACTCAGCTGGCCCAGATGCAGCACTATCGCGAGCCGGACCTCAAGTACAACATGTCCGAGGTGGTGGAGGACCGCAGCGTTTGGAAGTATGCCAGTCAGCTGCGTACGGCCGTCGAGTATGCCTGGCTGCACCTGAACGATGTGCAGGAGCAGGTAGCCAACATGGACGAGGATCAGAACACGCTCGACGAGCTGCCGGAGCAGGAAACAGATCTGGAGCAGGCGCAAGAGCAGCACCAAGTGCTGGAGCAAACACACACCGCAAATTAACTGTTGATTCGAATAGTTTAAGTCCTCTATTTTTTTCCCCCTAGTAGTTACACACACACACAGGTCTGTCTAGCTCTGTGCCCGTACCGTTAGTTGCTCATATTTATTTTTGTAATAATCATAATCCAACGTATTTCTCTGAAATATACTCAGGCGCCTTAACAAATCGCACGATTAGCTGCCATGGACGGAGCTAGCCTGAACATGACTAGGAGTTGTGCAATATTTATTGAGAGCATGATGAGAGTGAGATAAATATCAAACTCTTCCAACGTCAGCTCTATTTCAAGGCTTCTTTGAAATACATACTTATTATTTATATATATGTATATACTTTATAATTAATGTACATAATACAGCTCAATCTAATGACAAGCCAAAGAAATATCTTTTATCTATCTGTTGCTATACTCATTCACACTGGAAAAAAAAAGTATAGTTGCTTTGTTATTCTTCTATAGGCAACCAGAGACTTGATATTTGTATATATATATATATACAGTGAGTAACATCAATATTCGATTTTTTCAACTTTTTTCCGGTTTATAAATAATTTTTGTCAATTATGTTAAATATTCTATAGTGATATATTCATCATTGGAAAGGCTATTTTTTATTTATAATTCAGCATTTAAACTTTTTTAATTTAATTTCAATTATATTTTATTATATATATAAATTTAATTATATAAATTTAAATTATATAAATTTAATTTTTTTTTATATAAATATATATTATATGTTTTATAGGCGTTTGAAGTTGAAAAAAAAAAATCGAATATTAATGTTACTGACTGTATTCATATGACCCTACCTAGTACTACTCGTACATACATATATATGTACATGTTTCGGTCATTATGGGGCGCATGAGTAATTGGGCTAAAGCTAGCTAGCTTACTCCTCTATAAATGTATATAAATATGTATATATTTATACAAATATTTAATTAACGCTGAGGCATGCCTAAAAATTTTGCATTATTTTTATCATTTAATTCAAGTAATGCTCTAATTTTTGCATATTTTGTTATAATTTATCTAGAAGATAGAAGGAACTGAAAGCCGAAAGTTATTAGCGTATCTTTATTTTGCGTCTCTTTTCTAATATAAATACAGCGCTAGTCTATATTTATAAGAACTCTCATCAATATGGAATGGGATATTCCCCGTCAAAGTGCCAGCGACTCCTCTCTAAAACATTTAGAAATATGTTGTCTGATTACCGCCAGGTACTACTCATAGCAAGAGCAGAGGTACGACTATCATATATACCCATTACAGTCTCGATTCACGCAAAGGGGTATATTGCGCTGAACTTTTAATAGTTTCATTCGATTTAAGCGAGCAGCTCAAAAGTATGCAACGATTTGACTGCAGTCTTACGAGTCGGGAGGTAGCGTAAAACTCAATAAAGCTGCTCCAAAACGTAACAGAAAACTCGTTTAGGAAAGCATACAAATTCAAGTTTTATTAAGTAACTTTTCTGAATGAAGTAATTCATATACCCCATCATTTTAATTTTATTCTTAGCCCAGCATGTGAGCCATACTTTATTACCCAACCATATATAATTTGGTGAAAATAAAAGTGCCTCGATTTGATAAGAAGAAAACCTTCCGGTTAATAGCGTAAATTATTTATATACATCAAATTCATATTTACGTCCGATGTATTTGCTGATGATGAAGCGATCGTTCGATCACGGCTATTATGGAGACGATTGCCCCAACACAGCTTACCGCAAGTCTGGGATATCGTTGGCATGGGTCGAAAGGCAGAACGGTTGCTTCACATATCGTAATTGTTTGTTTATTATAGGCAATAAATAAAGTTGTCATTAAATTACAAAGTACCGCACATAAGCATTCAAACAAAACAAAATAATAAAAAAAAAAAACAAAAACAAAAAAAATGTATAAATAAATATGCTCGCTGGAAACGTTATCACTACTCTCATTACTCCAGATAAGAAAAAAAAAATTAATGATATATATTTATATGATTATCAATGGAAATAAGGAATACTTTAAACACTTTATCAAAGCCACGATGAATTCTAGTTGTGATAGCCTAGTTGCGCAGCAGGAGGGCGCCCAGCGTGAGGGCCAGGGTGCCGCTGAGGGTGGCGGAGAGGGTGCCGGCCCCGTCCCCAGTGTGATTGCTGCTGGCCAGCAGAATGGGGCGCTCGTTGGCACGGGCGTCCATCCAGGCCTTGCAGTCGGTCTCGTTCTTCACGAAGCGAAAGATCGACTGGACAATGTTGGCGGGCGTGATCTCGGCACACTGCTCCAGATGATGCAGCACACAGGCCTCGAAGCTCTGCAGGTCGACGCAGTGTGTGGGCGAGAAGAGCAGCTCGGGCCGGCTCATCAGATCGGGCACCTGGCCGTCCTTGGGTATATACTGATGGAATGATCTGTTCAGGCAGTTGCTGATGCTCTCCCTGTTCGCCTCCAGGCACTCTGGCCCCTGCTCGGCCACAAACAGGGCAATCTGATCGCCGCCGCGAGAGCAGGCGAAGTTCAGCAGTGAAGAGCCCAGACGCATCATGGTGGCCTGCTGACGCAGCTCCTCGGTGTTCAGGCAGGGCTTCACCTTCTCGTTGAACTCGCGCACACAGCCCTCGGCCTCGGGCGCCCGCTGGCAGTACTTGTGAAAGACGGTGTCCAGCTCGCCGATCGGACGGGCTGCCTCCATCTCGGCCTGCAGGGCCGTCAGATTGGCCAGCCCGCTCAGGCAGGCGCCCAGCTTGCCGGCCGCATCCTCGATATCCTTGTACAGCGTCGCATTGTCCTTGCCAGTCGCCTTCTTGCACTTCTCGCGATAGACGCGCTTAATATCATCTGCCAAAGGGAAGCAAAGCCAAATCATTAGCCATTGCCCATTCGTTATGTCACCTGCACTCACCCATGCTGACATTCGTGTTGCGGAACTCGGGCGGCAGAAACTGCGCCGAGACGCTCTCCAGCTGGCTTGAGGTCAGCTTCTGTGGACTGGGACTGGCGCGCGCCTCCAGCAGCAGGGCGCCCAAGGCGGCCAGCAGGCACACGGCGATCAGAGCGTATTTGTTCATGTCGGCTGTCTCTGCAGTCTGAGTCGAGTTGAGTATGCGATCGGTAGTTGGTGGAGCTACTACTACTACCTATGTGTGCTGCTGTGGCTTCCGTTGCCTCCGTACAGCGCGCGTTGCTACGAGTGAATGAGAGCGGCTGGCGTTCAAAAGCGCGAGCAACTGCGATTCGATTGTGTACAGTGGGGCGTGGCGTTGCGAGCGCTGTGCGAAATATCTACAATTTGCCGACGGTATCAGACCACATACATACACACATACATGTACATGTAACTACTGCTTAGCAGCTGCAATAAGAGATAAGAGATATATACAAATATACATACATACACATATACACACATACATGCAGAGTATATGCAATTATATGCTATCGATAAGTTTACTGATTGCTATCGCTGTGCACAGCTATCGATAGCTCTTTTAATTGTAATTCTGCACAAAATTATATTTATGTATTTTCTTTTTGCACACTTTCGCTTGAACTGAAGACATTTCTTATCAACAACTTAAAGCTGCATGGAGCAGATATGATAACAATTGTCAGCTCTTTGGGACACTGTGCCGTCGCGCCGGCATTTCGGCCAAGTGTAATCAGCACAGTGACATAATTCTCTCTTTACGTTCGCTGCAAATTTTGCAACATTGGAGCATGCGGGCAAAGGGTAATGTCGACGTCTGACGACTGATTTACAGGGAATTAACACGCTCCAAGGCACACATATCTCGATATGTGCCGATATACAAAGTATGACCGTATATGCCACATATGTGTGTGTGCCTGGGCTTATGTATCTGACTTTTCCATAAGCTGTTTGCTTATCTTATCTGGCTGCTGTCCATAATGTTTTTTTTTTTTTAGCGCTTATTGCATTATCGATATATCAATATATGTACAGACATACATATGTACATATATACAACCGATCCATTTAGTAACAGCAACGGAATGCTCTAAAATAAACTGATAACTAATAGCAGTTAGCTGATTATCAATTATCACGACAAACCTATACCCACACACACACACACACAAAGGCCTCGGTGGTTCAATTGCAGCGTCAGCGGACTTCTCATACGTTTTTCACACTCAGTGCTGATCTACAGTTACACAGTTCATTAAAATTGCTATTTATGCTAGCTCGACTGTTTTCATTATTATCAGCTGTTCCTGATGTTATTTAATATGACTTGGGCATTTCGTAATAAGTTTACAACGAGAGCAATTAATGCTTTTCGCAGTGGTTTCGCGAGCAAACACTTAAAACTAAAAATGCAGCAAAAGAGAGAGAGAGAGACAGAGCGAGAGAGAGAGAGAGAGAGACAGAGGGCGAAGCTTGAAAAACGATAAGTCTATATAAACCACGTACGACGTAATAATAAAGTATTTTTTGTGACTGCGACGATCTTTGACTGGAATTACTCTAACGGCTTAGACCCTGTAGAGCACTGATGCCATTTCAGCATTTATCCCGTCAGATCTGGCTTTTATTCCAAAGTTCGATTGCGGGAAAATATCTTGAGTTATATCTTTATTTATATATACATATATATATTTTTTTTTCTTTAAATTTAATTATTATTATTATTATTTTTTTTTTTTTTTTTTTTTTTTTTGTATGTATATAACTATATTATTTAATAGAAATCACAAAATTAATAAAATGCATAAATTTGTATATGCATGCCTCACATAAAACCTGCAAAAATGTGTCGAGATCCCGATTCACGATTTTTGCCTTTCCAGCTAGATCTAGCTTTTTGTGCTGTGGAAAAAATGTCAGCACTGCTGTAGAGCCTTAACCATAATTTGTTATTTAATTGTTTATAAGAGAGCATCAATCATTAATATTTATGCATGTGGATATAAGCCTAACTGCTTAGCCTCTAACAGTCATGAAGCTAATTGTCGCAGCTATTCCTCAGTCATCTCCAGCTATAATAGTCGACTATTAGCTTGTGCACTGAGCAAGTCAAGCTCGAATCCAATCAGTCGATCTCAAGTGCATACTGTGCTATATATTAATAAACGTACCCAAAGATCTATCTCTCTCTCTCTCTCTCTTCCTCTCTCTCTCTCTCTCGACTGTGCGAGCTTAGCTTGAGCCCTGTCGGGGCAAAAGCTCAAGTTTATGAACGGAAACCGGTTGGACAAAGCGACTGAGCGCATACTAAACGACATTCAACATTTTACACAGGCGATCAAAGTTCGTCAGAGCAGTGGCTACGTAATGACTGCGATAAGCTTTATCGCCCCACGGCTCTATATGAATGAATTGAGGCGACCGGGAAGCGTGAAGTGTGAACTGGGAAGCGAGTTGCGGAATGCCTCCTGGTCAAAGTCCAATCAGCTAATTGTAGCGACGCATTCGAGAGCTTTGTTTCTCTGAGATGCATACATTAATTATCCGCAGAGGGTATTAGCTAGTTTATCATTGAGATGAGCGAGAGTGAGCGGGAGAGGCGAAGGAAAATGTCGCTGAATTATGCGTGTTTTGAGTCGATAATACATATTGTTATTGGCATTGACAGATTTTTCAAGAAATTCATATAATTTACCAAGCTTGGCGCGTTTAACTATAAACACCTCAATAGCTCGAAGGCATCAGAGTCCCACGCTGCAGTCATATCGTCTGCTCTGCATGAAGCTAGCCATCCCTTGATTACGCATGAGATAGCCTGGATAACAATTACATCACTTCCACAGCTAATAACAACATATTAATATATGCACAAGCCGAAAAATACTTAATCTTATCACAGTTCAGATATGTTTTTGTGTAAAGGCCAATAAAACTGATAGCTAAGTTGGGCGGATTCGACCTTTACATATTGACTTGTCACACATACTTAGCTGCCACACTTAAACCGTTCAGGAGAGTTTCCTAACTACAATTTGTTTTCCTCTAATAAATAAAATACTTTCTCTTAAGATTAAGTTGCCAAAAAGGTAGCAGGACAATAATCCATAAATATATATTTTATCAAGCAAAAACAAGTTCAATATAAACTTGAATGAACATGTTATTTGATCTGACCTAAAGGCTATCCTCATAAGCTCTTCAGCAGCAACAAAATGCTGAGAGTATTTCAATATTTGTATTGCCAAATAGTTATTTGACATGGAAATTCATTCGTATGGAATTACAATTAAAAATCAATCATCAACTCGTATATTATACACATTTACAGATGTTGCTTTTGCTTCTCATTTGTATTTGTATTTGTATTTGTGCATGACGCAAAAGCCGTGCAGAAATTCAATTCTATTTGAGTTCCCTTTTTTACAATCCATGTGAATCAGCTTGGGGTATATTTATTTATTTTAAACAACGTTGACAATTGTTTTCGCTTCAGTTTATGCAATTAGTCATCAAAGTCTTTTGCACACACACACACACACACACACACATGCACCATCTGCCTCTCCCATTCATGCTTGGGCTCTCTTTGTGTTTCTCCTCTGATTAGTATCTAGTAGTAGCTGGCACACAATAAACGCATAGCATACTTTTAGGGGAAGCCGAAACGGATACACACACCGCGGAAACGCCGCCAGCGCGCTGCTGCACACAGAGCGCATTGTGTATACGCAGCGTATTGGCCCAGTTAGTGGATTTGTTATGAATGCGCGGTGCAGTCTAGCAGGCGGCTCCCTCCGTAAGCAGCTCACTCGCTGGCCTTACTAATTGTGAGCTGGCAATAAGCTAAATACTGTATATTTGCAAATTCAGCTTTGAGGCAGGCAAACATACACACACACATATACACACAGGTGTGTGTATGCATATGCACAGGTGAGCAGCGAGAGTGCAGGTGATGATTAAATTTCGGAATTTCATATGCTGTCAGTTGCCAGAAGCTGCACGACTCGCATGTAATCATCTGTGTGTGTGTGTGTCTGTGTGAGTGTGTGTGTGTCTCTGTGTGTGTGTATCAAACGAAAGCTTGAAGCTTTACTTTCCAATTAGGTTAACAAATATAATTAATTAACAGATTCATGAGTTATTAACTGCATAAACTAATGCTAATACTAATACTAATACTAATATAATATTAATAAAAAATAAATATAAATAAAAATATTAATAATACTAATAATGACAACAATAAAAAAATAGTACTTATAAAATTTATATTAATAAATAATAATAATAATATTAATAATGATATTAATAATAATATAATAATAATAATCATAATAATAATAATAATCATAATAATAAAAATAAATAATAAATAAAAAATATTAAATAATAAATAATAAATAATAAATAACAAATAATAAATAATAATAATAATATTAATAATAATAATAATAATAATAATAATAATAATAATA